TCCCAAAGTCAAATAAAGATCTCTTGTTTATTGATAATTGGCGACCAATATGTCTATTAAATAATGATTATAAAATATTTGCAGCAATTCTTGCTGAAAGATTTAAAGATATATTAGACTCAGTTATTGATCAAACCCAATCAGGATTTATGAAGAATAGACATATTGCTAACAATATCAGACTAGTTTTGGACATTCTCGATTACTCTCACTTGATTTCAGAGAAAAGTTATATATTATTTTTAGACTTCTATAAAGCTTTTGATACCCTTGAACATAATTTTATTTTTCTCAGTCTTAAAAGGTTTGGGTTTGGTCCATTTTTTTGTAACGCAATTCAAACTCTTTATAGTAATGCTAACAGCTCAATTAAACTGAAAAATGGGACTTCAACTAGATTTGATGTTAAAAGGGGCATACGCCAAGGATGTCCCATTTCTCCTTATTTATTTCTACTGGCTGCACAATTATTAGCAGATCATATTAAGCAAAGTGATCTTTTAGGCATCAATATAGCAGAAAGGGAAGTGATTGTCAGTCAGTTAGCGGATGACACTACTCTCTTTTTAAAAAATAGTGATCAAGTTGCCATAGCTTTAGGAGTAATAAATACATTTTCAGAAGCATCTGGTTTACACCTGAATATTGCCAAATGTGAATTATTATCTGTGAAAGATTGTGATGCTCCCTCTATTTGCAATATCCTGATTAAAGAAAAAGTAGTTTATTTAGGAATTGTTATAACCAAAAATGAATCCATACGCTGTAGTGAAAATTTTACTCCAATTATAGAAAAAACTCATAAAAAACTTAATCAGTGGCTTCAAAGAAATATCTCTTTAAATGGAAGAGTGCTACTTACTAAAGCTGAAGGTCTATCCAGATTAATCTATGCCGCTTTGGTCTTGCAATTAGAAAACAAAATTTGTAAAACAATAGACAAGTTATTATTTAACTTTGTTTGGAGAAATCGTACACATCACATTAAGAAAACAGTTGTTAAGAACACCTATGAAAATGGAGGATTAAATTTTTTAGATTTTAATACATTAAATTGCAACTTTAAAGTTAATTGGATGAAACAATTTTTAAAGTGCCCCACATCGATTTGGAATTATATCCCTAATTATATTTTTTCACAGCTGGGTGGCTTGAACTTTCTCTCCCTGTGTCATTATAATATTGAGAAGTTACCTGTAAAGCTCTCGGCATTTCACAAGCAAATGCTTCTTGCTTGGTCTCTTATCTATAAACACAACTTTTCTCAACACTCTTTTTTTGTTTGGAATAACCGCAATATACTCTACAAAAACAAATCCTTATTTCTTCAGAGTTGGTATGATAAAAAAATCATTTTAGTTCATGATCTCTTTAATGAAAATGGTTTTTTGCTATCATATTATATGTTCTTACAGAAGTTCGATTTTCCTGTCTCACCAAAAGAATTTGCCATTGTATTTGATGCTGTTCCTGCAGGAATTATTACACTGTTTAAAGGCTTGAACAGAACTCTATGTATCACACCATCTCTCTGTGATCCATTTGAAACAACAGTGGGCAAAGCTTGTCTTGTTCCAAATTCAACTAACAAATCAATCCGTATTTTATTTCAGAAAGAAGTTGTTGCAAAATCTTATGTTATTACTTACTGGAGCAATTTTACAAATATTTCAAACTGGAGAAAAGTTTGGCTTTTGCCACACAAATATCTTATTGTGAACAAAGTCAGAGAAGTGTCTTTTAAATTAATTCACAGATTCTAGTGAGTAGCTATTTAAAAAGATTTAAATTAAATATTAACACAATGTGCACTTTCTGTAATTCAAAAGAAGAAACAACTGTACATTTATTTTGGTATTGTTCCTACACAAAAACATTTTGGGGTAACTTTTGCAAATTTGTAATATATATTCCAATTTTTCTTTGCTTTGGGAAAATGTATTATTTGGTTTTATTGATACAGACAGTAGTACAGAAAAAGTGTTCTAATTCATAAATCTTTTACTTTTACTTGCTAAATATCATATCCATAAATGCAAATTCTCCAATAATAAACCGCTTTTTAAGTTATTCATAAAAGAACTGAAACTTTGAAACACTTTCCGGTTCAGGAAACAATAAGGCTAGGAAAACATTATCTTGTCATGCCCTATTTAAAATTCCCCTGTAAAAAGCGGTACTTTGTTTTGATTTACTTACACTATTAATATTGTATTTTTATTTTAAGCTTTACGTTATATGTATCTCTTATTCAATTTATTGTATTTTTTCCCCTTCTTTACTGTTTTATCCCCCTGGCATCTTTTATGTTCCTTATGTAGTTCCTAATGTTTCATTATGCTATAATAATTTACTGTTTAATAAAAAAAATATTTAAAAAAATCGTAGGAATTTTCCGCCATCTAGTGTTGAATAGAGTGAACATATCAGCTAACGTAAAATGACAGAAGATTAACATGCTCTAACTGCTTACAGCCTGTTGGGAAAATGGTTTTTCCCTCCCCGAGTTCAGGATTCGCTTGAAAGTAGACGCAGGAAACTTAACTTTATCGAGAAATCAAAGTTTAATAAACGAAGGATCAGATCAACAATGCTGAGCCCAGGAATACTGAAGAGACACCATGAAAAGGCAAACTGGGCGCTCCAGTATTGCCGTACAATCATAAAACAACAGTTTTTATTCTTGGTTGTCTCCTCCCCACTCTCGATGAGCCTCCAATCCACTATTCGCTTTCCCATCTTTAGATCTCATTTCAACCAGTTAGAATCTGCCAGTAGCCTGCAAACACACACACACAAAACACACATGCACCCCTACACAGACTGAGATACGGCTGGTTCCTTGCAGGTGTTAAACCACATCCTGTACCAAAGCACAGCTGTCCATGAGCTCAGATCTCTCGTCTTACTTCTGTGGAAAAACCCCGTTTCTCTAGAAGCGAAGCTTAAGCGATAGGCTCACATTTCAAACAAAGCATTTCATCAGTAAAGAAAATAGCAAAACTTATTTATCAATGTTAAACATATATAAAACATCAAAAATATGAAAAACTTAATATCAATTCTGAACATATATAAAACATTAAAAAAAAATATGATTCCCTCAAAAATATAATTCCCTCAATTCCCTCTCTTGATCTCGAAAGAGATCACACCATATCCAATGGTTCCTCCACTTCCTTTTAAACAGGCAAAGGTCTACCCAATCAGCAGCATTGGCCACTGGTTCCTTAGATTGTTTGTCAGGAGTAACCTAAAAAGACAAAAGCTGCAATCAAAGAAGTTAGTTTGTCGTGATAACATCTCGGTGACAATGGTGTAAATGCTTTCCAGGGACAGCGCAGAACTCTGGCCAGGATACTGTCGACCTGTCAAAAGCTCAAAAGGTGTGAAGTCGGGTCCTGTTGCAGAAGAATGTATAGACATTAATGCAATAGGCAAAACATTCAGTCAGTTAATTTTAGTGTGTACACAGATTTTAGCCAATTTTCTTTCATATCTATAATTATATTTAATGCCGGCAGTACCATGAAAATGAGCCAGACCAAAGGAATGCTCAACAGTTTTCTGTTCCTGAGATAGGTCGACCCAAGGAGGTAAAGAAACCAGACCTCCGCCACTGTGGCAATTTGACATGTACAGCTGTACCCACATATGCGCATTCAAGTTAGATGTTAACCCTTAAATCTTTTGCTAACTTAAGTAATTCAACCATTGGTATCATTTAGACTTTTTCAATTTATATGCCCTAACCTGTCCTCAGACTTCCATCATCTGCTCTAAAACAACAGCCATCAGCAAACTCAGAACTCTAGGAGGAGATGTCAATTACAGTCCAGTCAAGACAGGCCTTAATTAATTTTTTTTTTTTTTTTTTTAGACACAATTCAGTGATAGGTGCACAATCACAGGAAAGTCGGTTATTATATGTATGGCATTTATAATTGAAACTATTCTATATTGTTTTTTGAAATGTCAGAAAGTAAATTAGGTTTAATTCCCAACTGATATGACTAAGTGTGTTAGTTATTATAGGCTTTTTTATGGTTAATGTAAGGCTTACGTAACATTAGAGATTTTTTTTTTTTTTTTTTTTTTTCAATTTGCGACTTTCGGTTTTGTCATTGTTCCCAACTCCTCGGCTTCATGCACTGGATTTATGGCAACTGAAACATGTGGTAAAGCTGTGTCAGCCATCTCATACCTTTTTTTATTGTTCATCAGTTAATTTGGGTGACCACCCCCTCTTTGCCAATTAGTAGACTCTTTCCCTGTAACACCCATTTTGTGCCCACTAGTGACAAGAATTCATCTTCATAGTATAATTTATCGTTTCTGTTATAGTGCAGTGTAGGGGGTCAGATAGTGGTAAGTGAATGCCTAATTGGTTAATCCTGGGTTTCCAAAGGTTGTATAGGGAGACCAAACTGTGAGGGCTTTAGCCTGTGTTGTCCAGCTCCACCTAGTAGATATCAGCACCCTCCCACTACTTGCATGTGGACAGTAACCACTGTCCATCTCATGACGCCCCATGTTTTGAGCAGTTAAATGACCTGTCATTAGGGAAGGTGATGATAACCCCATCAGGTGAACCCAATATGCTGGCTCCCAGTTTAACTAATCAATCTTTCCCCAGAAGGGCCACAGGCACATTTGTTGAGTAGAGAAGACTGTGGCTTAGTTGCTGGTTAGCCACGGTGACGGGTATTGGTTTTTGTAGCTGGCCATCTTTCTGCTTCCCCAGAGAACCTATTACTTCAATTGTCTTACTTGACAACATATCATCAGTCACTGCCCCCTTCGTGACTTTAGTAAGTGTGGCCTCAGTATCCACCAAGGCTGTTAATGGCCTAGCGTTGACCATTATCTACAGTGGGGTTCGGCCTGTCCCCCCCTGCTGGTTCTCTGTGGGTCCCGTCAATAAGTCTCCGCCTCATCCCCCAGGTCCCACACCGGGAATTGAGTGGGCACCTGGTTCCCCCGGGGTTTAGGGGCTGGGGATGACGGGAGAGTTTGTATTGGTTCTGGTCGCCTGCCTCGACCAGCAGCCCCACCTCTTCGAGGATCCCAACCCCCCGCAGGTTGGCTGTTCACTGGACACTGATCTCTCCAGTGGTTTAAATCTCCACACAACAAAACAACCCTTGTTGGTGTCCCCATATCTCCTATCTTTTTTTTTTTTTTTTTTTTTTTTTTTTTTTTTTTTTTTTTTGGTTGCCCCCTCTATGATATTGGTTTGGCTACTGTATGTATGTCTGTTGTGCTGTGTTGGGCTGAGGCATAATGGTGACTGTGTGTAAGAAATTAGTGGTTGTGGGCTAGGTTGTGGTGGCTGCACAGGCGACATAGCAGGTACATGAGTCAGAGGAGCAATGACTTGTTGCATTTGTGTATTTTGTCTTACGACCATCTTATTCTGTAATTTAGCTTTAGCCTCTTCCAGCTGTAGTTTCAACAGTTGTGACTTAATATTTTCTAGCTTTTCTTTGTGTTGTTTCAATGTTATATGTGTTCTTTCCTCCATTCCTGCTACCCTCGACATTGTTTGGTTTACACTGTCTCTTGCGAGTTGAATGTTTGCGGTAAACTGCTTTGCTATTTCCTTTTTTACTGCTTCCTCTATTTCTATTTTAGTCTGAACTTCCTTTAGGGCCATTTCCAACTGTCTTTGTTTTTTATCTTCCTCTATTTCTTCGACCTCTATAGCGCCCTGTTTTATCATGAACTTGAAATCTTTGTTAGCTTGTTTAGTAGTAGTTTCTATTTCTCCCCCTTTTACTATCATTACTGGCATCTGCATTGGTGCTGAGGGGGTTTTGGGTTTTTCTTCTGCACTACTATAGGGTGGGGGCCTCTCTGGTGAGTCCCTTTGATCTGCCCACACAGCACTTTTTACTTTGGTAACCATGGCTGCAGCTACCCTGCTCCATTGTCTCAGTCTATCTTCTGCTTTTTCTATTTCTCTGTTTGCTGCTCCCTTCTTCCAAACCCCAGTTTTGTCCCTATTTTGTCTGGCCAGTACCAAATCTGTATCTGCCCTTTTCTCCTCTGTCAAAAGTATGTTCAGTAACTTTCCCTGATTTTTAGTTGTCTCTGTCCAGCCATTTAGACCTGAGAGATATGTCCACTGACTTTCTAATGTTTTACTTATTTTCTTTCTGTCTTTTGGTTCGGTGTGATGTATTATCTGCTTACAGATACCATCCCACGTCTCTTTATAAGTTGTCATTTTAATAATGGTTTTGTCTCCCTATTGGGGTCACACACCTCACAATCTTCCTTATGTCCTAATAATCTACACACCCACCACTTAGGAATGTTTTTCACCTTTCTTGGTTTGTAATATAACACTTTCAGCATCTAATTATGATTCCTTCATTCACTCGATGTTTTATTTACATGCTCTCAGTCCCTATGAATATAGGGCTCATCAATCACACTCTCCTCTCTGAGCTCCCAGAATGCTGCGCCCGTTCCTACCGGGTCACACTTAAGTGACGGTCCAGAGAAGGTGCGCAGCACTCTGACCTCCCAAATACGGAGATATTCATTCACTCACATACACTCATTCAGGAATCCGCACACACTTGACACTTTAACACAAATTTGCACCCTTTAACGTTTTGCCTTTTACTCTCTTTTATGTGTTTTTACGAGTGAGTTAACCTCGCCGGGTAAACTTCAATTCTCAACCATGCCAGGAAAACACGATACGAGTTTTTATAATATTTCTTAACCACGCCGGGTCAACTCGTTTAATCACTAATTCAGAGTTTTTATAAATTTGCTTAACCTCGCCGGGTCAACTCTTTTGACTGCCAATGCGGAGTTTTTATAAATTTTCTTAACCGCGCCGGGTCAACTCCATTAATTACCTAATTCTGAGTTTTTATAAATTTGTTTAACCGCGCCGGGTCAACTCAATAATAAACCAATTAATAGTATGAGTCTTTATAAATTTGTTTAACCACGCCGGGTCGACTCGTTTAATAAATCAATTCTGAGTTTTTATAAATTTGTTTAACCGCGCCGGGTCAACTCAATGATAATCAATTCTGAGTCTTTATAAATTTGTTTAACCGCGCCGGGTCGACTCAATGATAATCAATTAATAGAATGAGTTTTTAAACCTTGTAACCACGCCGGGTCAACTCATTTTAATTGCCATTGTTGATCTAATTCAAATTATTTACGGATTATGTTGGTATTCAATCCCCAATCAACCTTAAATTTGGTAATTCCAATCTTGCAGTACTTTTATCAAAAAGGTGACTGCTTACCTTATTAGAAGTTCTGCGCAGAGGTTGATTTGAGATCGTCCTCCAACTCGACGAGGCGTCTGGGCGAATCCGGGTGCCCCCTCCAAATTGTTGGGAAAATGGTTTTTCCCTCCCCGAGTTCAGGATTCGCTTGAAAGTAGACGCAGGAAACTTAACTTTATCGAGAAATCAAAGTTTAATAAACGAAGGATCAGATCAACAATGCTGAGCCCAGGAATACTGAAGAGACACCATGAAAAGGCAAACTGGGCGCTCCAGTATTGCCGTACAATCATAAAACAACAGTTTTTATTCTTGGTTGTCTCCTCCCCACTCTCGATGAGCCTCCAATCCACTATTCGCTTTCCCATCTTTAGATCTCATTTCAACCAGTTAGAATCTGCCAGTAGCCTGCAAACACACACACACAAAACACACATGCACCCCTACACAGACTGAGATACGGCTGGTTCCTTGCAGGTGTTAAACCACATCCTGTACCAAAGCACAGCTGTCCATGAGCTCAGATCTCTCGTCTTACTTCTGTGGAAAAACCCCGTTTCTCTAGAAGCGAAGCTTAAGCGATAGGCTCACATTTCAAACAAAGCATTTCATCAGTAAAGAAAATAGCAAAACTTATTTATCAATGTTAAACATATATAAAACATCAAAAATATGAAAAACTTAATATCAATTCTGAACATATATAAAACATTAAAAAAAAATATGATTCCCTCAAAAATATAATTCCCTCAAGCCTCCCAATAATTTACAGCATTTTCAAACACATTGTAAGCCATTTTATCGGCGCATGTGTGAGTTCAGCCAAATATTATAGAATACACTTAAAGTGACTTTGGTTCTTTGTTGTAAGTAAGACTAGGAACCTTTATCTCGCTGAATCACACCGGAACAATTTAGAGGCGGCGCGCGGCTGCACACGCGGGTTCACTGTGTGCTGTGTTTTGGTGGAACAGCTCTTCAAAACCGCTGTCGCTACCATTAGCTTGACCATGTTGAAGTCCAAAACATTTGTAAAAAAGACCCGTTCTGGCGGAGTGTTGAAAATCGTACGGGAACATTATCTCCGAGATGACATCTGGTGTGGAAGTGAAGTTTGTAAGGAGTGCAAAGATGAAGCTCCGGTGCTGCAAGAAGAAACTTGCATAGAAAGCAACCTCTGCCCATATCCTCACTATTTAATCCCAGACACCAATGTGGTTTTACATCAGGTACATTCTGTTTTTTTTGTTTTTTTTTTGTTTTGTTGTTTTATATGTGTAATTCACTTGTCAGTAGTTGAACCCCAACATTGTCTTCAGAATATCTGAAAAAGATATTGAATTAACGCTAGTCCGTTAACGTTAGACTTTTTGTGTTGTCATTGTATGACAAATTATCATGAGGAACCTTATAAAGCGGGGTTAAAAAATCTGTAACGTTAGTTGGCTTAAGGGCTTTAACGTGTACTTAAAAAAATATGACTGTTTTTTGTTATTTGTATTGTGTTTTGTTGTTTATATAGGTTAATTAATTACGTTTTATTCATTTAACTTTAGTTATTAAAATAGGTCACTGCTTTAGTCAAAATTAAAACTGCAAAGTTTTAAATGCTGCATCAAATCATTTCCATAAAACAACAGTTTTGTTTAGGGCCCCCAAATATCGAGAAGTTCTTTACATATAAAGAAAGATAATTCATCCCCGTCTAGTGTTTGTGCCTTTCTCTCCAAAAGTTATAACAATAAAAATGTTGAAAATAAAATAGGTGCGGCACATTTGCTCAGTGGTTTAGCACGGTTGCTTCACAGCAAGAAGGTCGCTGGTTTTAGCCTCGGCTGGGTCATTTGGTCGTAGTTAGGGTTATAACGGTATGAATTTTTTACGGTATGATAAACAATACCACGGTTTGACGGTTTCGCGGTATACGGTATGTTACAAATGTTACAAAATAATAGAACAGTGAAGCAAATTTGACTTTTTCCAAATAATATATTTTCAGTTACTATAAACAACACCACTTACAATGAACAAATAAAAAAATAAGAAAATAATAAATAATGTGTCAAAGTCCAAATAAAGTCCAAATAAACATGGTGCAAATCCTCAGTAAAAAAAAATAGATATAAATATTTACTATACTATAAATAGTTAAATAACAAAACTAGATTCAATATGGAACATCCTTAGGTTTTATGTGCCAGCATGGATATGGTTGTCTGTGGATATGGATTTGGATATGGTTGTCTGCAATGCAGACAAACAGCTGCACCTTCATTTGCGTCTTTTGAAAACAGCAAGAGCAGCAGTTCGTCTTTGCTGTGTCACTGTTTTGTCATGTTTCTGTGCTGCTGTGCATGCAAAAGTACTTTTATTTATATTTTTTCTATTTTTTCTATACTTTCTATTTTTATTTAGCCGCGCATAAATGTATGCCTATCTCTCATTCTGTGTTGTTCAAAAAGCTCGTTTTTTGGTCCACAAACAAAAGCGAAACCTATGCTTATTGGTTGTGATATAGCGAGTTTGAACCAATCTGGGCATGGAGGAGGGACAATGCATCAATGTATCATGTCTGGTTTGTCCGGAGACACAGTGACGAGCGTTTCTTTGTCAAATCAGCATGGTCAAATTTTGATGACGTAACCGCACTGATTCCGGAGCCTCTGAAAGTCTGCGAATGTTAAGTGATACAGCACTGGAAAGCTGAGATTCTCTTCTTTATGCCAATCTTTGAATTGTATGAATCGGATCAGCGGATCAAAAGTTATTAAACATTTAAGAGCAATACTTATTTTTAGCCGCGGGCGGTTGTCTCGGTCTTTAAGGGTTAAAACCGTTTATATGCAATTGTTCATGGTATGATAATCGTGCACGTTCAAATCGTGGTAGACCGTCATACCGATATATTGTTACAACCCTAGTCGTAGTATATGTGTGTGAATGAGTGTGTATTTTTAAATGATTAGTTTTCTTAAAATGAATTTACAACTAACAATAATAAATATTTTTTTAGATATAATTTTACTGCTGACTGCTCCATGATAGATCATTTATTTTGTAATATTATTATTATTAATGCATTTCATTTATTTTATTTTTGGCTTAGTCCCTTTATTAATCTGGCGGAATGAACTGCCAACTTATCCATCATAAGTTTTTGCGCAGCACATGCCTTTCCAGCTGCAACCCATCTCTGGGAAACATCCATAAACACTTATTCACACACACACACTACGGACATTTTAGCTTACCCAATTCACCTGTACCGCTTGTCTTTGGACTGTAAGGGAAACTGAAGCACCCGGAGGGAAAACGCAGGGAGAATATGCAAACTCCCCACAGAAACGCCAACTGACCCAGCCGAGGCTTGAACCAGCGACCTTCATGCTGTGAGGCGACAGCACTACCTACTGCGCCACTGCGTCACCCATTACATATTATATTTGATTGTATATTAAATAATATATAATTATTTATATTAAAATTGTATTTGTAACTCTCACCATATAAAATATGGTAGAAAACGATGTTATATATAGTTTATAAGTATAATTTATACTTCTAGATATTTATTGGGGGGCCCCATTACCCGGGGCCCTAAGCAGGTGCTTACCTCGCCTATTGGTTAAATCAATAATGGTAAGAACAAGCACGGAAATGCCAACTAACCCAGCTGGGATTCAAACCAGCAAATTGCTTAGTGTGAGGTGACAGTGCTAACCCCTGAGCCACCATCTCACCCCATATTTAATTGTTAATAATATAAATATATTACACTGTGCAATAAATTCATATGTTAATAATATCTATACTAAAATATTTATATATTATTTGACATTAAAAACAAAAACTATCTATACAAAGTATAATATATATATATATATATATGAAATAGCCAGTGTTTTGCTGTAATAACAGGAAACAGCATTTTAATGTAAAATGAGCAGGATTTGTATGAAATTGTGTAGTCTAAAGAATAAATTACAGTAATTTACTTTATGTAGCCATTACAGGTAGTAACTGTGATAATAAATGGTAAATTACTGTTCAACCATTACTGTCCCATCTACTGTGATGCTTTAATGTGCTAAATATAGAATAGTGCATTTATCTTAATGCAGAAAACAATAATTTAGACATTGACACACACATACACAGGATGTCTGTCTTATTTTAAACAAAATTGTGAAAAAAAGTTTTCAAAATATGTTGGCCCTTTAAGGGAGCCAGGTGTTTGATTTGTTTACTTCTGAGTGCTCTGTTCTCTGTTTAGCAGTTCAGATGCAGAGTCTGGTGTTTTAATCCAAAAATCTACAATGAGTAAGTAAAATGTGTTCAAATGTTTTTGAGGGTTTCTAAACTAAGTCTGTGTATTAAGTTATATTGTTGTTGTCTTGAACTGTGTACTTGAGGGCTACATTGTTAGCTAGTTAGCCTCTCCTCATATAACTTTTTACATTACTTTCATTTAACTATATTTATTCATTGGATATTGCCTATTTCCATAATGTACAGTCTTTTTGGCAAATAAGCAGATTGTATACACATAAAAACCATTAAATTCCAATCTCCTCAGCTAGGTAGCTAATGTGAATCATCACAGGGATTCACAAACCTCTACTCTCAGGTCCTAAGTATTGCTAAGTATTTTTCAGAGCTGTGTTTCCAATTATCAATTCCTAAGGACAATAGAAATGTTTGTTTTCTTGAACATTTTTAAGTAAATAATAATAAGATTAGATCCTTTGGGTTCTCTGTGTCGCCGACTTTATTTTTGTTTTGTTTTTTGTTTTTATAATTATTTTAAACTTTTTTTTATTGAGAATTGTGCCTGTTTTTTGACAAACGTGTTTCTAACCAAATATACAGTATGTGTGTGTTGTTTTGAAATGCTATTTTGTTTTAATTATTTGAAACCTGAGAAAACTTTTTTTTGTTTTTAACCTTATATTAGTGTAACTTTGTATATCAGGATTCAAGTAATGCCACATTAGAGCTTTTTCAAAGGGATGTATTATGCTATATATGAACGACATGCATTAAAAGGTGAAATAAAAAATCTCTCTCTTAAACAACACTTCCATTTTTTTATTATTATTATTATTATTTTTTTTTTTTGCAGAGGCTCAATAAAGTTGACTGAACATCAACTGAAGTAAGTGAAAGTGGTGTTTGTAGAATAAAGTGTTTCTTAAATAAATTCATAAATCAGGTTATTATTTTTTTTACTACTACAGGTTTGGAACAACATGAGGATCAGTGCTGAACGATTTTTTATTTTTTGCTTTGGATGGAGTTTAAGTAATTATTGTATATTGTTTTTTATTTCATTATCATTATTTTTTTGCATTTGTGATTGTGATAAATGTTGGCAGTTGCTTAAATGTGGTCAAACTCAGTTCCTGGAGGGCTGCAGCCAGCAGAGTTTAGTTCCCACCCTGCTTCAACATTAACTGTAGATTTCTAATAATCCTCAATTAGTTGATCAGATGTGTTTAATTTGGGTTAACGCTAAACTCTGTGGCCCTCTGTAATATGTCAGATGATATTTAAATGTTTGACAACTGTGCTATATACACTGCATGTGTTGATTGCTTTCATTTTGTTGTACATTTTCTGTTTTATATTTGTTTGCTGCCAAAACAATAAAATACATGTGTCTGAACAACTGATATGCATTTTAACACTTAAGAATACTGATTAATTTTAGTAACACTACAATAACTATAAATGACATACCATTAATGTGTACGCAGTATAATCCTGTGAGTTGCAACACGACAGTACAGTAAGTAACTGTAAGCAGTCTCCAGTTAGTTACCGCTACTGCTCTATTACATTAATTAACTGACAACACTGTTGCCAGCTACTCACTGTAAAGTTCAGTTACAGTAATTACCTGGCAACACTGTTGCCAGTTAGAAACTGTTTAGTTACAGTAATTCACTGGCAACACTATTGCCAATTACTCACTGTAACCAAACCATTACAGTGAGTAGCTGGCATATATATATATATATATATATATATATATATATATATATATATATATATATATATATATATATATATAAACAGGATTAAAAATATTAAGACCATTATGAATTAAATTTTCATAAAGGGCTAAAGGTTTTTAAATGGCCCAGATAGAAAAGATTTTTTTTTGCCCTATCAAAAAATATTATTATTTAATACATTTGATAATGCAATAATAAATTAATAATAAAAATTCTCCCTTGAGAACACAGACCCACAAAATTCTCTTTTGTGAGTGTAGAGACAAACATGACACTCCACTGTGTCATTTTGATGGCTTCTGATAGCAACACACTCTGATACGGGTCTGGCTTTCTAATCCTGCTGCTCTAAATTGGAAAAAAAACTGGACTGTTTCAGTTCACTGCATGTCTTTAATATTGGTGAAGTCATTAAGGTGTAGATTTTAAGATGTAGATTATACATATTTTAACAAAAGTATCATATGGCCAAAGAGAGCACCATCACTCATTCTACAAGCACTTTCAGTGATTTAATTCTGGAACTGGTCTTGCTTTATCAAACATTAAATTTGTCGTCTTTGCCCTACAAAAATGATCAAATCATCATTTAGTACATTAAAGGTGTAGTAGTAACCATGTTTATTTATTCATTAGTGTATTGATTGCAATTTGTATAACCACACCTTTACAAATATGCTGTTTTAACATTAAATACACATTTGCATACAGTACCTAGAAAATTACATAAAATGCTATGAAATAGTATAATTAACATACTTAAAATATTGAATATATTAAATAAATAGCTAATTGTTTAATGTATATAAAATATATTTAATTGTTAAAATATATTAAACTTAGCAATAAATTCAAATGTAAATATTTATATTTCTATATTATACATTTACATGTCATTTGAAATTGAAAAAGAAATATCTATACAAAGCATGATATATATATATATATATATAATTTATTTTTATTTATTTATTTATTTTTTTAACAATCTGCACATTAAACCTCTGAGAATAATTGACAGAGTCTCTTGTGTTACTCACTGTATTTTGAGGTAGTGGTTGCCATTTTACTTTACAATGGGATGTTTTAGAATTGATTATTTATTTAATTGACTTTTTTATGTGTAATTTAAATAAACAGACTAATAAATGTTTACTGTGCTACAGTGTGTCTTTGTGTACAAATCAATCCCATGGCAAAGGTGACTAAGAACTTGAAAAAGTAGAAAAAAATGCATCAAAATATTAAAAGATAAAAAACTTTAAGTTTGCGCACTTAGTATGTATTAAGTTACTGTTAATTTGTATTTATATTGTTATGTGAGTAAAGTTCTGATGTTAACTATTTTGTAATACATGTTTAATTTGTTGTGAATGTATTGAAAGATGTTAACATTTGAGTGCAGAAAAATCAACAACTTACAACATAACTAAACACAAAAGACTTTTAAAAAAAAAGGAGAGAGACACTTATTGAATGAAGATGACAAGTTTTATTTCAATCAGCTTCAGAGTCAGAATCAGCATCTGCTTTGTCTTCATAATCATATGCGTGCATCGTCATCTATGGTGACCCTCACCACCCCTCATCATCTGTGGTGACCCTCACCAACCCTTATCATCTGTGGTGACCCTCACCAACCCTGTGTCTTTGGTCACCCTCACCAGCCCTTCACAAGCCCCGTTGTTTTCTGGTGACCTCACCAGCCCTCACTCTCTTCCAGTAAATCTCACTGTCTGCTGCGACTGCTGTAGACCATCTCCAGCCACATAGGATTCTTCAATCGCTTCCACTTTGCCAGTGCACTTTCTCCAAAAATGTGTTATTCTTCGTCTTAGACGCCCAAGTCGTCCAAATTTTGGTGACTTTGATCTTTCAAAGACAGACACATCGTAAGCATGAATATGGATAACTTGCAAGCACTCCACAATATGTTAATTGCCATAAACAATTTGTGTGAGTTTGTGATCTGACAAGCATCAGTCTGCTGTGCGTGTTTGTGTTTAACATATACCTGGTCTCTGTGAGAGGCAGCTGCTGGACACACTCAATAGTGGAGTCTCCTCCCGCCTCAAACACATTGACAGCCTGCTCAAACACAAAATACATCTTTAAGTGTCTCACAAACCAAAATAATTATCATCATCGTTTTCAACACACAGATGTCATCAATTGAAAGTATATACTCACTGGTGAGTTGCTGGCAGATTCATAAGTGTACATGTTGGGAAGTAGATGTTTAAGGTTGTCCAGCATGTACTCAGTAAAGCTGATCCACATCTCCTGCTCCTCAAGCATTGTGGGCCCTTGAGGAACACTGCACATGCAGATAACCAAACATGTCACATTAATAAATGCACCAGACATCTTACTTGTATGATTGACAGCTCTATCAGACTGCTCTGTCGTTTCAGATTCTAAATATTGGAGCATGTAAGACCCTTCAGTCCAGAAGATATGTGCTCTGAAGTACACACAACATCAGCTGATTACAGATATAAAAGTAAACACTTACTGAAAGATGATTGGACCAAACACTAAGGACAGGTTGGTGGTGCTCATTCTGTTGACACCTCTTTCAGCAGCCACATGGGACAGGAAGAAAACCAAATAGCAGAGGAGGTTGAACACTGCAAGATAACATATTAAAAGAATTTTAGAATTTGATAGAGCAAGTACATTAATCGTTCACTAATCAGCATTTGTACTACACTTACTCCTGAACACCTTCAGTAGCTCGATCATGAGTGGTGCTGGAATAAGACCACCGGGAAGCAATTTGAGGAAATGCTTTAAAACAGAGGCTGAGGAATGAACATCCTCACTGTTCAGCTCTGGAAAGCCTCCACGATCAAAACATCTCCTTAGCTCATACTGGCGCACAATTGCACCATCAACCCTGAACAGGCCACTTGTACTGAGGCCTAAAAACAAACACATATTTTACAAATACAGTCTCAGCATACGTGACTTGGAAACACTTTCAAATACACAGTACTCACCATGCTTCTCCAGGAAGCCCACTAAATGTGTGAGGAGCAAAGGAAGACCCTGCCTCATCTGACCGGTCTTCCTTAGATGAGGTAAGGGCACACCAAACACCTTGCTAGGTGTTTCCTCCTGCACAAGAAAGAGAATTACAAATGAGAAATAGTGTACATACCCAGCTGACTAGTATGTTAGTAACTTTAAGTGTATGAGGAAAAATAAAATGTATTAGGCCTATTTTTCTCCATACACACACACACACACACACACTTACAGGGAAAGTAATGCTAAATCACTTAATAAGGAAGACAATACATTGATAATTGATAATTTAATAAAAATTCTTTACTGAACAGTAAACATTTGTGAATTCACTATTATTCTATATGTGTGCAAATCGAATACTTACACACACTGATAAAACTCCCATTATGGGGGTTTTGCCGAGTATGAACCAATCCGAGGGGTGTCCGAAGCCGTTTGTCAAATACAGAAAAGGGTCGTTACCGGGAATCCAAAACCGAGTGAAACGCAAATCCAAAGCCGTAGTCGAAGTCCGAAAAAAGTGTCAAAAACCGAGAGTCGATAACCGTAATCAATAGCAAAAATCGCAAACCGCACAAACACCACTACACCAACAAACGCCTGAACACCCAACAAAGAATTTCAATAAAGAATGTTCATATAAACCTGCCGCGGCTCTCACGTCATTGGAGCGCGTTCTAAATAGAATCTTAGAAATTTGTTATGTTTTAAAAACTGCACATACAAGTTAAGCTAAAAAAAAAAAACTACTTACAATGATGAAAGGCAAACGAAAAGTTTTAGTCAATAAAAATTTAAACAAACTGCTTATAGTTTCCTCATATAAAGTGAAAGTCGTCAAAATTTCCAACATATAGGCTAGGTTATTTTATTTGTGGCAGATTCATTTACAAAACAGCTAGAAAAATAACATACATTCACGTAAACAAAGTTCACAAGGCTGAACAAAATATAAAAAAGCTAAAAATAAATAATATAGTAATCTTTAAGATCATTTTTATAATTTATATAATTAAGTTTTTCAATGTATTGTTTAAATATAATATCAACATAACATCTTCAAATGAAATAATGTTACCACACAATTATGCTTTTACCAAACAAGTGAAAATAATAAAAAAAATAATGTTTTAAAATATTTTTACAATTTTATTTAAATTATATATTTGATAATATTTTAAACGGCATTGGTAAAGTATGAAAATATACATCATTT